GTTGGCTCACAGGCTGGGGGTCATCTCAGGAGCTAGTTCACTGGGGATGCAGTTGCTGGATTGATTCTCAGGCTGGGAGAGGGGTGGTCATATGGTATGTCAGGGTCTCCAGGACTGGTTTGTCAGCAGCATGGTCACCATGCTGCTTCTCTGAACAGGGGTAGGCCTACCAAGGGTGCATAACCAGGCTATTTCTCACTTGGATTCGTGTGTGTTCGATGGTTCAAAGACTCACGGGTGAGTCTTCCAGTGGTATGACAGCTGAGCTGTTTCTCTGAGCCAGTGGCATGGGTGCTCTTTGGTTCAGCTAGCCGAATGTTGGTCTGCCAGTGGCCCTTCTGCTGTGTAACTTCTTGGTACCCTAAGTGAGGTTTTGTTCCCTCTGTGGTTAAGGAAGTGGACTGCCAAGGATGGTGCTGCTGAGCCACTTCTTAGGAAGTGGAAAAGTCCACTAGGCAGAGCTGCAGTGAGAGACCCATCCATATGCTTCTCAAGCAGTGGGTGGGGTCAATAGGCAGGCCTGCAGTGAAGAAGCTGGTGCAACTGCTTCTGGGACTGTTGACAAGGCTGCTAGGTGGTACTTTTCAGGAGGGAGGTGCTTGGCCAGTTCTCTGGGAGGGGCAGATGCCCTTTATTTCCACTGGCCAGAGGGTGTATTCATAAGGGTAGAGACCTGTGAGCTGTTTTTCTATCTTGGGGGCTCAGGCACACACAATTCAGTCAGCTGCTGGGGCTGGGGACAGGGAGAGGAATGGGAGTTGGTCCACCTGAGGAACGTCTGGCTGTCTGATCTCTGGCTGGGGACATGGGTGTGCATCAGTTCAGCAGAACTAGGGCTGGCTTCCCAGACCGCAGAACTAGAGTCACAGCTGCTGTGAGCCAAGGCTTCAAGCCTCCAGGATCAGGGCATTGTAGCCTCTCCTGTGGGTGCACTGGGAGGAGGGCTACTCACCCCAAGGCAGGGTGCATTCCCATAACAGCTTGGGTTTCAAGATGGCATCATCCTACATCCACTTGGGTCATGAGAGTGGGGTGTGGGGAGTGCAGAGTTTGCGCTCCTGTTGTAGAGTGATGCAGGGTATGTATTCTAGGTCACTCCCCACATTTTGCGGTAGGCTGGTCCTGCCAAAGGATCTTTGGGCCTCTGATGAGGATGGGGGTTTGTGTGGGTCCTCTGCCTACCTTTACACAGGAAGGGAAAATTCTTCCTGCACTTATCCCTGTGTTGGAGACACGGCAGCTGAGGCTGTGTGCCTCTCTCTCCTCTCCACGCCACCATCCTGGGTTTTCATGCTCCACAGGGATCCCACCACTTTCCTGCTGCACTCCTACAATCTCCCACAGATGTTCACATCAGTAGTTCGGTGTCTCTTAATTGTTCTCGTCTCTGTTTAAGTTTTAAAACTGGTTTGTCAGTTTCTACAAAAACACCTGATGGGATTTTTATTGGAATGGTGTTGAATATATCAATCAATGTAGGGAGGAATGACAACTTAAGAATATTGAGTCTATTAATCCATGAACATAGTATCCCTCTCCATTCATTTAGATCTTCTTTAATTTCTGTCTGCAGTGTTCTATAGCTTTAAGGGTAAAGATCTTGTACATATTTTGTTAAAATTTATCTCTTAGTTGTGGTAACTTTTTAAAAGATATGTTAGGATTTTCTACATTGATGATCATGACAAATGGATTAAAAAACATTTTATATCTTCTTATCCAGCCCATATGCCTTTTATTTCATTTTTCACCTTGTTACACTAGCCTAAGATGTCTAGTACAATATTAAGTAAAAGTGGTAAATGAGGACATCCTTGTTTTTTGTTTTTTCCAATTTTAGGTGGAAAGTATTTGGTCTTTGCAGTGGATTGAATTATGTTCCCCCAAAACTCACTGAAGTTTGAATTGTGTCCCCCAAGTTTTATGTGTTAGAAATTTGGCCCCCACTATGACTGTTAAGAGGGTGGGAAATCCTATTATGGTAATTGAAAGGTGGAGCCTTGAAGAGGCGATTGGATTGTAGGACCATGAGGTAGTGAAGGGATTAAAAATGGTGGTCAGGGGCATGGTTCTGATGGTTTTAAAGAAGAGAGAGGAGAGTCTGTCTCTCTCTCTGCTTTCTCTGCCTCCACCATCTTGCATTGTGACCTGGGTCACTGTCACCACCACCAGATGTGTTACTTGGACTTTCAACTTCCCAACATCTGAAACTATAAGCAATAAATTTTGTTTTTAAATTATCCAGCTCCATGTATTTTGTTATAAGCAACAGAAATGGACTAATATGGTCTTTTACTATAATTATAATGTTTTAGGTTGAGGAAGTTTCCTTCCAGTTTTAGTATGCTAAGATATATATTATATTGAGTGGATGGTGAATTTTTTGAACAGCTATTAAAATGGTTATATGTTTTTCTACTTTTTCTGGTCATTTGGTGAATTATATTGATTCATTTTTAGATGTTTATATGACCTAACATTTGTAGGTTAAATCTCACTTGTTCGTGTCATGTTATCTTTTTATATGTTGGTGGATTGCTAATATTTTGTTAAGGATTCTTGTATTTGTTTATGGGGGATATTAGTCTGTAATTTTCTTTTCTTTTCTTGTAATATCTTTGTCATTTTTGGTGTCGGTGTAGTGTTAACTTCATGAAAATGAGTTGAGAAGTGTTCCCTTCTCTTACATTTTGAGTTGTGTAGTGTTTATGTTATTTCTTCTTTTAATATTTGATAGAATCCACAAATAAAGGCATTTGGATATGCAGGTTGTATGTATGTGTTTGTGTGCATGTGTGTGTAAAGGTTTTTAACAATGAACTCAAATTTAAATCATAGAGGACCATTCAGATTTTCTGTTCTTTCTTGAGTGAACTTTAATAGACTGGATCTTTCAAGGAATCCATTTCATTTAAGTTATATTTATTGATATAAAGTTATCGATGTTATTTACTTATTTTAAAATGTCTATAATTCTGTAGTGGTTTCTCTTGATATTGGTAATTATGTTATCTCTTTTTGTTTTTCACTTTAGACCAAGGTTTGTCAATTTTACTGATTTTTTCAAAGAACCAGCTTTTGAGTTAATTTTCTATATTCTTTATTTTTTATTTATCTTTATTATTTCCTTCCCTCTATTTACTTTGGATCCAATTTGCTCTTCTGTCCCTAGATTCTTAATATAGAAGATTGGATTATGGATTTGGGGCCTTTATTTCTAATTGAAACAGTTTAAGCTAGAAATTTTCCTCTAAACAGTGATATAGCTACATTGTCACAAATTTTGATGTGTTATTTATATTTTATTTTTATTCAATTCAAAATATTTTCTTGTATACTCTATGATTTTTTTCTTTGACCAATGGGTTATTTAGAAGAATGTTTCTTAATTTCTAAATATTTGGGGATTTTCCAAATATCTTTCTGTTATTAATATATTATTTAATTCTGTTGTGGTCAGAGAACCTACTTTGCATGATTTCACAACTTAAATGTATTGAGATTTGTTTTATTACCCAGAATATGTTCTATCCTGGTTAATGTTAGTTCAAATTCATTGATAGTATTTTTCACATATTTTCTATTTTTACTGGTTTTCTGTTCACATGTTCTCTCAATTAACAAGAGTGACTTGCTAAAATCTCCAACTGTAATTGTAGATTTGACTTTTTCTTCTTTTAGTTCTGTCAGTTTTTGCTTTAGTATTTTAGAGATTTGTTATTAGGTACATTTAAGGATTGTTATGTTTCTTCATGAATTTTTGACCCTATAGAATTCTAGGTTAATTAATTTTTTTCTTTCTTAGCACTTTAAATGTGTCTTCGTTTTGTTTTCTGGTTTGCATAATTTCAGATGCAAAATCTGCATTCATTCATATCTTTGTTTTGTGGCACATCCTGTGTGTTTTTTTCCTATAATTTTTTTTTAAGATTTTCTCTTTGTTGTCTTTGAACTAATTGATTATGATTATATGTTAGCTTTTCTTCTCAACAGATCAGTTCTTTCTCTCACCACCAGTAGAAATGTTGCTTAGTGTATAGAGTCAACAAATTTTAGACATTTTCAGTTTACTGCAAATTTTCTGTGCGTTAGTGTCTACTGCCAAGGAACCACCCTGATTTATGAGGACTTGCAATGCTTGACTGCAGGCTCATGAAGGCCTTTGGACAGTCACATTCTTTGATTCTACCAACATAAAATGAAAAGTAAAGTTTTACTGCTTAGTATAGTCAGGGCAATTCCCCAGATTCCCTATCAAGTTGAGTCCTGTTAAATATAGCACAAGTTTTTATTTCGATGGGACTATGAAAAATTTCAGCATCTTTCTCATAAACTAATATATTTTTTTAAAATTCTGAAACCTGTAACTATTCCAGTTAAATGATGATGGTGATGGTGATGATAGTAATAAAAAGAATTGCTATAATATTTTATAATACTTTATAAATTACAAAGTCATTTCATATACATTTTCTCACTTAGTTTTATGATTATTTGTACTAAGAAGTTTTTGTAGACTTGCTCAAATAAGTAAAATTAGCTGAAGAAAAGATTTTACAGACAGCCATTTTTAAAAGATTAAAATTCAAAACAAAACAAACAAAAAAATCTGCTTAAAAGCCTTAGTACTTATTGTCATTTAATACACAGAAATAGTTTCAAATGAGATCAACCATATTTAAAGACAGTAAAATAGAACCATATCAGAATGCTTCTCCCCCAGCCTTGGTTTTATGTTCCTGGTCTTCTAAGATTAAAAGTGGATTTTCTTTCATTTTGAAAGGATAAACACATGTGTTTTATGTTGTCCCAAGGTCTTTTATAACAAATATTAGTTGAAAAAAGGATCAATCCCACATTTCTAGCACTTATCCAAGAAATGACTATTTTTTTTTCTTTTCTTTATGGAAAAATGAACTCTGTTTTTGTTACTCTAGTTTTTATTTTGAAAGATTCACCTGGGTTTACATGTTTTGTGACAGGTGTCTTCACTCGAGGACAGCTGGGCCTGGTAGACATCATCTTCCAGTACATTCACTATGATGAGATCTATGAGGCAATAAACATCCTGAGTGGCATGAACTGGGACACTCTGGGCCACCAGTGCTTTATCAGCATGAGTGCTATTGCAAACCATCTTCTTAGACAAAAGCTCACTCCAGAGAGAGAAGGTCAGACTTAAAATATATTTTCATAAATGGCTTTAGTAAATACACGAAGTACATGTCACTGAGTCAGTTATTTTTTGAGGATGTTTTTGAGTTATGTTTTTGGAGAGTAAAAGACAAAAATGTTAATGCCCTATTAAGACTGAAATGATCATGTATCAAATAATCGCTCCTACATGGTATTTACTGTACAGTATTTGTCAACATAAAGACAAATTTTCTGTGTATGCTTATGTTGGCACTCACAATGCAGTCATTGTATAATTCAGTCTAAGCTCATGTGTTGAATATGCTCAGATTTCAAACTTTGATCAGAAATTTCATATGCTCTTTGGGATCTGGTAGACAGAGAGCCCTAATAAGGGTCCTTATTCCTCTCTCACATTAGACATCAAAATTTTTTTCTCACATCCAAGTCCTCGGGCCACACCATAGTTCTTAACATTCACTTTTTTTTGTCTGTGTCAGAATTGTAGCCAAGGCTGCTCCTACCTGTTTTCATTCTTCTGATTTGTAGTTTTAACACCACTGCCCCTTCTGCTTGCTTGGGTTTTCCTGCCTTTGCTCAGTAAGTAATTTTGCCCATTGGGATCACAGATGTTTTTTGTCCAGAGAGAGGCAAGACACTGTTAAAAAAAAAAAGGTGGAGAAAAAAGATGTCGCATATAATAATGAAATAAATCTTAACATCTGCCCATTATCTAGTGTATTTTTTGAGTTATTTATTTACTTAATGTAAAATGCATGTAAAACATTCTAGCATTTGCATCCTTATTTTCTATCTTTTTAGTAATCATGGACATTAAAGGTAGGAACTCATGAATGAGAAACTGTCTAGGTAATTTACAAGGTAGGGAAAAGAGGAAATTATGTCTAAAGTTACTTACTGCAGAGCTTTTTCTTTCCTACTATTTTCTTTGCATTTTTATAGATTTTCTCATTCCATTTTATTGCATTTCCAAAATAAACAAGTTGTTTGGATAGAATTCTATAGGTAAATTTCATTTTAGTAAGTTCAGAGAAGAATAATAAGGAAGAACATGCTGCTCTAGGAAGTCTGTATCATGGGTCGTGGCCCAACTCATAGAAGGCCCACAATAAATATTTAATGTTAATCGAATGTGCTTTTTGGAGGTAATACAAATCCATCTACAAAGACTCCAGTATTCCTTCAATGAGAAAATACCTACTACAGTGCTTGGCCCACAGTAGGTACTTCATGAATATTAGTTAAAAAAAAAAAAAAGAAGAGTATAACTCCAGGATTTTAGGTATTACTGTAATATTTCTGCCTGCAGATTTATCTCAAGTAAAGTAATTATGGTATTTCTTCATATTGATACACTCTCAAGATTGGGTACATACTAAAAAATATATATGTAAAAGTAGAGTTGCTAAAGAAAGCCTATTATGATACACACAATCTATGCAAGAGATCCTAAATTTACAGTTAAAGAAGAAATATGGAAAAGATAAAATATTAACTCTCACTCAGCACTAAGTGAATTTTTTTTGTAATACTACTGTGTTGTAAGAAAAATTACTAGGGAATACACAAATGGGTATTATCAGATTCTTACCTTAATTAAGGATATTTTCAAGGAACCATACTGGGGAGATAGGGAAATAAAAAACTTGTATGATATTAGGCTATTAAAATAAAATGCTTGCATGATGCTGGGTTATCAGAATATGTACATTTTAAGTAGGTATGTGCATTTCCGCCCCCCAAGTAACTGCAAAACACATTTCTAAAACATTCAGAATTCTTCTCTGTTGAGATTTATTCTAGCTGAATCTAACAAATTGGACATGGTAATTTGTTTCCCTTTTATTAGTGGAACCCAGTGAGCTCTTTTATTTGTAGCCATGTTGTGGTTATCGTAGAGATCTTCATTTCTGTCTTAAACATCAAGCTGGGCTATCTAATGAATCTATAACTGTGCTAGGAGTTATGAGTATTCCATGTAGGTTCAAACATTTCAGATGTACAGAACATGCTGTCAAGAAAACAAGCAATGGCAAGAGAATCTGGCTTGTTTTCACAATAGCATTGCTGTATTCAATTTTAATCTAAATTGACTGCTGCTTTGAAAGAAAATACCTGTAAAGTTCATCTTACTTTACTGTCTGGATTTGAGATTATAATAAGAAATTACTAACAGCGTAGCCAAGTCCATAGCAATTACTCTGATGAGATACTTAATACTTTCAAACTCAAATATGCCTAAAACTAAAGTGTTTTGCTAAATAAGGAATCGTTTATTCAACCCAGTGCTAGCATAAAAATCACGGAAGTTTTACTGTGAACTGTAGTGTTCTCATACATACTTTTACTTTCACCATTAAGGTAACTACTTAACTTCCAGGTATTTCTGGGAAGAAACATAGCCCCATAGCCATGTCTTGGTAAAATTGTGAAATAGTCAAAACGTGCCTTTTCACCTAATCGCTAGCCCTCTAGTTTAGCAAAATCTGCTCTTCAATCCTCTTCCTTCCCTCTAGTGGTGTTAGCTTTCACATTCAGACAAAACCAAGAATCTTGTTTACGGCAGGATTTAGGGAAGGTATAAGGACTTTCACTGTTCTCTTAAAATTGTAACAGAGATATTCTTATTCCAATAAGCCTATTTTTATTAGTATTATTTTAAAAAATATTTCTACTCTACTGATTTCAATTCCTAACGCAAAAAGGTTAGTTTTCTTCTTTCAGCTAAAGAGAGTAAATGTTGAGCACACTGTGAGTTGATTTTACTGGAAATACTAGTTCAAACTGTGTTGCTTTGATGAGTCACTGTTTTAATTACCCATTTGTGGTGAGAGGTTGGTTCATTATGGATTTCTTCAGTTTTGACAGCTTTTTGTTGCTTGGAGTCATTGTCAGCTTTGCCTTAAGTGAAAGTTTATACACAGGTTTGTTTTTGTACCAGCTGTCATATTTTAATTTCATCTTTCCTGCAACAAGCTCACATTTCATCCAAGTTTGCAAAACCTGAATGACTGCAAACATGAGTATTCTGTTGTAATTAAAGGAGTTTCACTTGTTTTAGTGCTGCTATGTTTGAATTCCACAGCACAGCTTGAGGCAAGCCTTGGAACCTTCTATGCTCCAACAAGACCACTTCTGGATACAACTATATTGGAATATAGAGACCAAATCAGCAAATATGCAAGGAGATTCTTCCACCACTTGCTCAGGTGAATGAAATCTTTGGATCGATCAGTGTCAAACTACCTATTCTAGGAGCCATCTTCTTTAATTAGAATGTTCCATAATATGACTGTTTCCTAATAGTCCATCTCCTAAAAGAAAGATAAATCTTCTCTTGATATTCTTTATGTAATTTACTCTTGTTTTCCTTTTAAGGAAATATTCAAATATTGTTTAGGGATTTTTCATCATCAGGGCTCTTTAATGTACCTTCCCCCTTAATATGAAAGCAAAAAATACCAGCTATGTAAAGTCAGTATAAAAATATTAACTGAATTGTGCCCCCAACACTAGAGAAATGTTTTTGTTTTAATTGAAGCTAAAAATATAAATGTTTTATAAAGCTCTGAGACAGTCATTGGTTTGTTTACTTTTACTGTAGAAAGATTTGTCCATTGTTCTCTCATAATGCGGCAAGTTGCTAGCTGCACTGTACCACAATTTTATGTTTTAAATGGGTGTAATAAGGTCCTTTAACTTTAGGGATTATGTGAAAATTAGATGATAGTGTCAAGGAACTGCTCTGAGAAATATAATGTAAAAGTGAAGGACAAGTATATATAGCATATTTCATATATATATAAGGTTCAAAAAACAGGATGGGTGGATGCAAGAAAGGAAAGGAAGATGAATCAATTGAAAGATAGTTTGGAGAGATATATATATATATATAAATGTGACAATACTATAAATAAAAGCAAGGAAGCAATTAGCACAACACGTTCCTTTAACTTTAGGGATTATGTGAAAATTAGATGATAGTGTCAAGGAACTCCTCTGAGAAATATAATGTAAAAGTGAAGGACAAGTATATATAGCATATTTCATATATATATAAGGTTCAAAAAACAGGATGGGTAGATGCAAGAAAGGAAAGGAAGATGAATCAATTGAAAGATAGTTTGGAGATATATATATATATAAATGTGACAATACTATAAATAAAAGCAAGGAAGCAATTAGCACAACATTTTGAATAGTCTGGAGCAGGTGAAAAGAAAGATGATAGAACAGGCACATGGGAGCATCCAAAGTATCAGTAATGTTCTGTTTCTTAAGGTGAGTGGTATGTATCAGGGTCCATTAAGAATTACTATTCTTTTAGCTATATATACACATTTTGTATACTTTTGTATATGATATGTTTTATGATAGAAACTAATAGAATTTTCAACTCCAGGTACCAAAAGGAAGTATTACATCAAGGAATTGATTTTAGAATTTTGATTTTGCTAACAATATAATCTATTATAGTGTGTGTTTTGCTCTTTCAAGGACTTTGATGTATATATTCTGTCCTGTTTTTCTCAGAAAAACCCTGTTAAGGGAGTATTATTTGACAAATGAGTAAACTGAGTATAGATAAGTAGCCTGCCTAGATCAAATAACAAGTTTTTGGTGGTGCCAGATCTTGAACTGGTTTTCTTGATTCTCTTCTTACTCTTTCCTTAACGCCATTTATCAACCATTGGTTATACAGTTTTAGATGCTATCTTGTGAAATAACTGGAAATTGTTGTCCATTAAAGAGTAGGCTGATTGACATTCTTGACTGCCCAAAAAGAGAAGGGAAATTTCAGATTAGTCAAGGTTTGAGGAGCTTTCTTGTTGTATAGATATTCATGTTCTATAATCAGGTTTCTATATATAAAGCGGCACTTTGAACTCTACCTGGCAATGAAGGCTTTGGAACACAGTTTTTCTTAGAAGCTGAGAAACATTAATATGCTGCAAGAGTTATGATCTGTAATTGGATCTTGCCTTCTTATCTGAATGATGTTAGCATATTCCCGGAGAGTCTTCATACTGAACAAGTCTGTCTTCTGTGAATGATCATATGCCAAAAGTGTTGGGGTTGATTCACATTTATTTGGACTTTAGAGCTTTGTTCTTTGCTCTGATTGCTCTCATTGCTACTATTTTGTTTTCCCTGTTCCTGGGGAAAATTAATGAATTCACTTTCTGCCTGAAGAACCCAAAAAGATGAACATGAATGAAACAGAAGTTTTGGAAGCATGCTCTTTGGTGGCCTCACTGTGTCTCTGGCCTCTCTAACTTTATGCAATGATTTGGTTTTTGTATAAGTGTAACATTTTGTAACTATCCTGCTGGCTCTGGGATGCTTATATTCTCCTAATGTGCAATTTTTTTTTCATTGGGTTTCCTCAAGTGCAGTTTTCTAATTATTTTTTGGAACTACTTTGATGGGGTGACTATTATTATTGTTGTTGTTATTTTTAAGCTCTAGCTTTCCTGTGTGCTTGCTTTGGGAATTGGATGTTTTCCTCTGGGGTAGTCTAGCTTTTTATGTTTCTTTTTTTTTTTTGCATGCTTTGCTACTATTTCAATTATAATGAGTGTTTATTAGTTATTCTTTTGATAGTAGGCTATACATAGCATTACGAAAAAAGAAAAGTATGTTTAGAAGAAATTAAGTGAGATAGCTTATGTTGGAACTATTCTTTTATTTAGTCTACTGCCAAGAAGTTCTCCTGCTTAGGGGAAGAGAAACAGGCCAAATGCCATTTTGTATTTGTGAAGTGCTGGAATTGCATTACTCCCTGTCCTTTGGCTAGTCATTTTTTTAATACTTTAAAACAAAGTTATTAGATAATGGAATAAGTCCTAAACAGTAAAGGCTAGCATAGGGGGCCAGCCTGGTGGCGCACTGCTACAGTGCGCCGCTTGGGAGCGCGGCGGCGCTCCT